CCTTTCTACCCTAGCCGGATGGGTAGATCTATCTGGCCTACCGGATGTACAACTCCACCCCCAAATCCAACTAAGGGGTGAGACACCTTGTGCATGCTGCCTGGCTTGTACTTCAATTTTGCCACTTGTGGCTGATGAGATCAGACGAACTGCCGGTGTCAATGAGGATTCGACCTACCTTCTGATTTGGCTACTTTGCATTCAATGACAATGGGGTCATCATGCGGCCTCCTAACCTTGCCCCTATCTTTCTCAGTGATGATAACTTCAGGGAAAGTGTCCTTAGATGCCTGCCTTTCATCAACTGAGCTGACATCCAGCCGCCTGATGTAATCCTTGGTACCCCAGATGGTTGAGCCACCTCCAGCAAAGTCGCCTGCTATTGTATAGATTGGTTCTTCATCAGTGTCCGAAATATTAGCAGGTTGAGGCTTCTTTTTGGACGACTGCCCATGGTTAGTTTGTAGAGTAACCTTGGACCTCAGAATATATTTGTCAGCCAGACAATCTAACTGCCGCTTGAGACTATAGCAGTCGTTGGTGTCATGGCCAATGTCCTCATGGAAATGAAAATACTTGTTTTTGTTCCGATTTTTAGCGGAACCTTTCATTGCAACCGGCTTCTCAATGGTCACCCGGTCTTTGATCTCCATGAGGATGGAGTAATAATCTTTGTTAAACTCATACTTGGGGGTGTATGGTTTAGATTCTTTCTTTTTCTTCTAGGACGGCTGCTCAGAGTTGTCGGCCACCCAAACTTCTGTTGGGTTTCGTAGAGTCCGACTCTACACGGAAGAGAAACCCGCCCAAGACCCGCCCACTAATTAAGGCAACTAAGCATGCAATCACATATTAAACAACAATTAAGAGAGAAAAGGAAAAGACATTCATACCCTTGGCGCGTGCATCGCTCGATCCCGAGCTCTTACTTCAAAACCCGAACCCCGTAAATGCGAAGGTCATTAACGGCTCGTACCCACGAACCCGACCTGAACGGTCTTAGTCCCGAAGGTTAGTCGGGACTTGACCAATAAAAACTAGAGTATTACGAACTTAAGGTTTTCTCACTTTTCTAAGGAGATGCCTTCTTAGTTCCACTCAAGTGTTCTTCCCAAATCCCAAAACTTGGGTATTTATAGGGAAATGAACCTTGATTTCCCATTCTCAATCAATATGGGAGATTTGCATTTTTCACTATTTTTTTTAATCAAAAACAAAATAAAATGCAACTCAATCAACAAGCTACAAGTAACATAAGGAGGAAGAGAGAAGGTGAGGACCACCCAAGGGGGGGGGACCAAGTCACCTTGCTCCCCAAGCCAACCACCAACCCTTGGTCCCCTCCCTTTGACCGGCTGACCAAGCCACGTGGCAGGCTGGTAGCTTGCCTTGGCTGCCAAGGCTGCCAGCTTGCGCCTAGCACCAAGGCTGGGCTTGGCCAGCCTGCCCTTTACGCAGCCGCACAGCTTGCCAACGCATGCATCACTAGGATGTTGTGCGTGATGATGCTGGGCGCTGCTGCTTGGGTCGTGCCACTACCTAGCACCACGCATAGCCCAGCATGCCTAGCACGCTGCTATGCGATGTTGGTGCTTGGTGCGTGGCTGCGATGGGCTGGGCGCCTAGCATGCTAGCAAGCACGCAAGGCACCATGCCTGCGATGCTTGCGATAGTAAGGCCTAGCCTTGCGATGCTTGTGAGCGCTTGGCCTAGCATGCTAGCAAGCACGCAAGGCACCATGCATGCGATGCTTGCGGGCTTTACTAGGCCATGCCTCGCGAGATGCGATGGCTAGCTAGCACACACATCCACACACGCACGCATGGCTTGCGATGCTGCGTGTTGTGCTGTGCGAGGCCCAAGCATGCTGCAATGCACATGCTAGGTGCGGTAGGCTTGCGGCTGGGTACATGGCCCAGCACGCTAGCATGCTTGCGGCCAGCAATGCCTGCCCATGCTAGCACGCTTGGCCTAGCACGCAATGCATGCTTGCGGCTAGGATTGCGATGCGCATGCTAGCTCGAGCTAGCCTAGCACTCGCATGGCTAGGCTAATGCGAGGCTACGGCCTAGCTCAAACTTGTCGCTTGTTGAATTTGCGATGCTCGGTCTCGACGCTATAAGCCCGATATCCGACATCTTTGTTCATAATACTCTGATGACACATCAAATCCTTCGAATTGATTCGTCGTCTTGGATCGGTTGTTCGATTGGGTTCGACCCGAAGGGTTCAGTCAAGATTAAGCTGTAATATTAATTGTACATTAATATTACTGATCAGAAGCGGCCTCCACCTATGCATTCCGATCACTTGACCTCACTGAAGAATTAGCTTTCTAATAATTCTGAACCCTCTATCAGAATAATACACTTGTTGGAAGGATACCATTCCTTTCAGCTTCTTTTCTCTTTTTATTCTCTTCTTTCTTAGCCGGCTGTGATGGCCGACTCTCCTTTTTGTCAGACCGCTTTAAGTTTGACTGCTTACTGATGTTGCAGAGTTCGGTCGCCTGTATATAGGCGTCCGCCTCCATCAGTGCCTTTTGGAGGGTAGCAACCCTCTTTTTGACGAGGTCGTACTTAAAGGTCGACCCGTCTTTTAGACCTTTGAAAAAGTCTGTATAGACCACTTCATTAGAAAACCCTTGAATCTGAATTCTCATCAGATTGAACCGCTTGATATATGACCGAAGCCCTTCTCTATCTCCCTACTGAATGGCACCCAAGTCCAGACTTGTTTTCTTATCAAGGATGTTCATAGAGAAGTTGGATGCAAACAAGTAGGCAAGCGTCTTGAAATTGTTGATGCATCTAACAGGCAAGTTGCCAAACCATTGTTGGGCGACGCCCTTTAATGTGGTCGGGAAGCATCGGCACCATGCGGCATCATCTAGCCCTTGTAAATACATAAGGTTGGTGTCAGCCATAAGTTGATCTTCCGGATTGGCAGTACCATCATAGGTACCTACCAGAACATTTTTAACCTTGGCCGGCTGTGCAGCCTCTGTTATTTCCTTGGAGAACGTACAGGGTTGTTCCCTAAGCCTTAGCAAACAGAGCTGTCAGTCCAAAGGTTGGACGTTTTGTGTCGCCTGCACCCCAAAGAGGGTCGGCTGCATGTAAGGTTGTCCATACGACATGTATGGTTGTTGAGGCACATACGGAGCCGAATGGAGTATCTGAGGGCCAGAGTGGACGGACAGGCCGCCTGACTGACCCTCTCGGTTTGATTGCGAATACCTCATTGAGGTATTTTGAAAGCTGTCTTGGTAAGTCAACGTTGAAGCCGACTTGAACAGTTGTTGATTTTTCTTATGCTCGATTAACAACCAGGCATCAGAATACATCTTTTTTGAGCCATCCACCTAAACATGCCGGATGACCTTCCTATTCTCTGTCTTAGGGAAGCGAATCTTAGAAAAGTCAATTAAGGGCTGGTTCTCCTCCTTTGATTTAGGATGGGGAGTAGGCACTCGGTCCTTGACTGGTTTCTTCTTCTTTGAGGAAGAAAGTTTCTTGGCCGACTATCCCCTACCGGAGATAGTCGTCTGCTTGTTGATCAAGTCTTTAATTTCCCCTTTGAAGCTGGTCATAAATTCCATGAGCTCATTTCTGTTAACTCGAGCTGCGCCTTTGGCCGCTTGGTTTTGTCCAGTTGGTTGTACAGTTGGATCACTTGGACCAGCTTGATCATTGCCCCGTTCCTTTATTTCCAAGGGACGGGTGCGCCTGGTTCTGAGTGAACCATCAACAACTACATAGGTGTCGACGTCAAAGTCGTCACCGCTGTCTGGTTTGAGTAGACCTAGACTTCGGCCGAGGGCCGCTTCTCATTAGGAGGTGGTACAGACTCATGTGAAGCCATCTCAGAAGTACTCTCCCCACAGACGGCGCCAAATGTTTCGGGGTTTTCTGTGTCCCTCGGGAGAGTTACAACACTAAGACTGGACTCCGGACGCCTGTACCTGCAAAACAACGGAGACTCCGGTTGGGTGGAGTTCCGCCTCCGACGATCAAGTTAGAACGTGTTCGGAAGATAAAAAGTGTGGAATGTAAATCGGGATCAGGTTTCTCTATGGTGAGAAATGATTATCCGGCTATCATAGACAACCTCAATGTCTAAGTATTTACTCTCGTAATTCGTGTGAATTGAATGAGTTGAATGTATTCAATGTTGTGTTTCCTTTAAGGAAACATCTCCCTTTTATAAGGTCTCAAAATGCGTGCCCATCCTAGGTTAAGAAACCTAGGACTTACTGGCTGCCTGGGATTTGGGCCTTGAAAGCTGTCAAATATCTGTCTGCCACGTGTCATGTCCTGATTGGTCCACTTTGGACTCTTCACCGAGTGACACGTGGCTGACTCTGGTTAGTCCACGCGGATGACACGTGGAGGGTCTTGATTGGTCCACGTGGCGGGGTAAAAATCCCCTGATGAGAAACCACTAATACCACCATGAAATCCCCAAATTCACTCAAGAGGAACCAACCATTGGATAATTAGTCAAGATAAAGTACACTAAGCTAGTGAGCTCAGATCGATCCCTCATGAATGTGCAAGTTTCTGTAGATAAGTTGAATTTAAATATTTAGGGGGTTGAAGACGATGACGCAAATTGTTGGTGATAATTATTGTTGATTTATATACGGTACTTGTTGATGTTTATTCTGCTATTTTTTATTTATGCACTGTTAATGTGGATTTGTATACAGTTGTTAGATATCTGATATGAGTTTAAATGTTTAATGTTTCAAAAATATTTTTAGTTTGTAATTATACTGTTATGTTTTATGAATATATTGCTGTTGTTGATTTTATACAATTATGGTTGATTTTTATACTGTTATTATTCGAAAGAGAGTATTTTTAACAGTGTAGTAATTAGTAATTACTGTCTAAGCTTTTGCATCAAATTACATTTTTACCCAACATATAGTCGCTCCCGGATAGCGGGCTATCATGTCTCGTCTGTTTTTTTTTTAAAAAAATTGAAATTAGTTGATAAAATGGTTCGCTTACACGAGTAAGGGTTTTTGCCTCATTGGCGCCTCACACACTCGTACACTCAGCATACACCACAACTAAACCCAGAGCCTCTTTGGCGATGATCTCCCGAGCTTTTCTCCGACTACATTCTCCGGCAACTATCTCCCTCATACGCACCCTTAATGGCGCCACCCATCTTTCTTCCTCCGCTGCTGGGCTAGCAGCAGCGCAAGCGCACAGCTACTCAGCCGCCGCATCAGTGGACTGTGCCGACGCTGACGCTCGCAATGCCGCTCGTCTTTCGACCGTAACTTGGTCACCTCAACTTCACAACTCAGTCAGCTTTATTGGGACTGTCGATTTCCCTGTTAAGAAATTTGCTTCCCAGGATGACCGTTTTGGTGTTTACACTTCTCTTCGTGTCAAAACTTCTCCTAATTCTGATTCTTCTTTTTGGTGAGACTTCTTTTTTTCTGCTTAATTGTTCTGTTGCTTTCATTTTTAGGGTTTTAATTTTCGGATTTTTTTATTTTTTTTATTTTAATTGTGAGTATTGGGTAATGGAATTTTAAACTGGAATAATCTCAATTTTGGGTTTTCATTTTTTGATTAATTTTTGTGATGGGGTTTGCATCATTTGTGGCAAATTCGGTTCGAAAGAAGTGATTGTTTGATGATTGGTTATTTGATATGATGTTGTTTCGCTGTTAATGCGAAAGGTAAAAGTTGTAGAATTGTGTATTGTGTACATTATGATTTTGGTTTAGGAGGATCGTTTGTTTTGGAAAGACTGATTCAATTTTGGGATTAGTTTGAGATGATTCGAATTTGGGATCAATGAGAGGTTTTAAATTGTCAGTAAAGTATCTTTACAAACTATATTGTTCTATTTTTGGATGAAATTTAGTCAGATAAACAGAAATTGAAAACTCACCTCCTAGACAAGAAATGTCAAATTGGACATCTGTCTTTGAAACGTCAGAGAATAGTGTAATCCATGCTTTTGACTGGTGGGAAAAGTATGTTTTAAAATTCACACACAAATAAGATATCATCAGTTAAAAAGACATTAACAGGTGATTGAAGACGTTCCTTTCCTTTCTATGGCTGATCAAGCTAGACTCTGTGCCTGACTAGGGAGCATCCTTTCACTTATTTGCTGATTGGCTTGCTGAATCGACCTAGTTTTTTCTTTCTATAAAATTCTTACCTCTTATACATGTGGAATTACTCCTTGGAACATGTTAGTGCTTGTTATCCTGTTGTAGACCAGTCACAACTCACAAGAGAAAGAAAAGCTTGTCACTTCTCACAGCTGAAGTTATGGTAGAAATGTAGGATTGTTAGGGATTCACATTAACCAAATTACTTTGTTCAGATATTTGTGCATGTGTTTCTGAAATGGGATTTCTTTATTTCAGCCTGTGAGAAATCTGAATCCATAGAATACTATGGCCCTCCTCTTTTTTGTTGACATGCTAACCTCCAGGAAATCCTTTGCATGCCACCTTGAGACCCTTTAAATGCCACCTAATCCTTTTTGATCGGTTGCATAAAATCCAGAAACGAATAAATGAAATCAGCTGAGCTTCGTGAATTTTCTATTACCTTTGAGGAAGAGTCTTAAGAAGCCTATAGCACGTTCATATTGGTGGGATGTAGAATTCTGACTTCATTTCCCTTAGAAAGAAGGATGATAGTTACATCCTTGGTCTGTTGCTAATAGATTATATAATACATTGTTGGAGATATGATAGCTTGTGAGTTCCTTCTCCTTCTGTTAATTATCTCTATTTTACATTCTTCCTCAATGTATTTGGTGATGAAATCTGTTTCTGCATATCATTTGCAGAAAGTTTTCAACTATATAATGTTCCATGTAATTACCAAAGGGTGTCAAATCCTTAAACTCACCTTTTGGTATTATCTATCTCATATACCTCTCTAAGCCCAAGCTGACAAGCGACAAAGGATGCTTATGTAATTAGCTTTGCCAATGCTGTGGATCTTTGTTACTACTTAGCTCATAGTTTTAAAAGGTGTGAGAGCTGCATCAAGGTGCAAAGAATCCTTGAAGTCGAGGTGCTAGGTGCAAGTCAAAGGCGCTCGTGTCTTGTACATTCGTCGCTTGGTCCCTTTCTTTAATTTTTTTTTTCTTTCCAATTTTTGGATCAAAATATCTGTAAACGAGGCTAAAGATTTAATAATGTTGAGTGATGTGGGAGCAAAGTGGATACTCATGATTAATTAATTAATAAATTGGCCTTTTTAATGTAATTATTTTACATATTAAGCTAAAGATGGGTATTTTTATGTTTGTCAAAAGTCTTAGATCTAGGCGTGAGTATGGAAGCTGCTTTGTACATTAATAGCTACTGGTTTGAGGAATTAATTACTGAAATGCCACTTTTGTTATATTGCAGAATAATGCCCAATGATTGGTACAACTTGGCAGAACTCTTCTACTTATCTACGTAGACCTAAATTTTGGTGGAAAGATTGTGAAAACGGGGTGAATTAATCATACAGCTAATCAGTAATCACTGTTCAGTTAGTTTTTCTAATAAATTGGGAATTAGATTAGACATAGGATTTTATTTTCAAATAAACTGATCAATAATTAGGTTTGCGTAGTTTTTGTCTTTAGTTATTTTAAGAATGTTCTAAAATCTTAAATTGTTCTATATTAAGGGCTTAAGTTGTATATTCTCTCATATAGGATGTTTTCAGATTAAGTTCAATCAAAATTACTTTGCTTGCCTTGCTAAACACATTCGTCCCTCTTGTTTAAAAGCTGGTGATTTATTTCTTTAACCTTTTGGTGTAAGTTAGATTGCTTAAGTGGGCGGCGTGGCCTTCAAACCTGATTAATTAATTGGTCCTTGTGTGTGTTTGATTCTTTTAACCTTATGCATCATTGAAGCCTTTAATTTTCCAATGTAAAGATCCACAATGCACTTCTACCATTTTAATTTTCTAGATGTGTTGATATAAGTTATGTAAAATTTTGTGTTGATAAACAAATTCATGGTGGTTGAATTGTATTTTCAACAATCTTCAAATGAGACATTCATTCTTAAATGACAATCAAATTCATTGTTTAGCCTTTTACAACGAGCCATAGAGGCATAGAGATTGATGAGCGTTGATATTATTCCTTTGTTCCATTTTAGACTTTCTCATTTGCCAATGCATAGCTTCAACCATTGGTATATCCAACTATGAATCTATGATTAAATACAATTTATAAAATGTTGAAATTATGATAATATAATTTGAGACTAATCTAACAAGATATCACTTTATTATATTTTCCCTTACATATCAATCACTAAAGATGGTCGCATAGAAATATGTGAATAGTGGCAAATGTCAAACTGTTGCGAATAAAATGGAACGGAGGAAGTATATGTTATAGCGTATTAAGCTAGCTTTACTTCAACCTTAACTTAACATTACCCAATGTGCTGTACTGTTTAAAATACATCTAGGCCACATAATTTCTAGACTGATCCACTTTTAATACAGTTTTAGATATCAAAATATCAAATCCATTGTTTTCTGTACAGGATAACACTTGTGATGTGGGATGAGTTGGCTGAGAGAGCTTTGCTGCATTTGAAACAAAATGATTACATATACATATCTGGTGAACTGGGATCATATACAAAAGCAATTTCAGAAGGGAAAGAGAGTTTAAGATATAAGGTTTCTCTCTCTCTCTCTCTCTCTCTTTGCCTATTTGTTTTTTTTATTTGGATTGGTTTATTCAGATACAAGTGGACTAACCTTTCTTTTCCTTTGCAATAAATGTCGCAATTATTATTTAAAGGTAACTTAAAACCCCTTTATAGAAGGCCATGGCATGATCAAAGACCCTTTTCTTAGGTTTTGAATGTGCCTCTAGAAGGTTTTGGCATACAATATATAGGGGAAAGATCTTTGAAAAAAAGATATCTTAGGGGGAGATTCTTTGATTTGTTTTCATTCCTTTGGATGCTCCAGATTGCTTCATTTATATTCTATCATTTTATTATAGTGGTGCTAAATTGGGATTGCATGAGAAGGGTACTGAATGGAGATTGGTATGACACTTACTATCACTGGCAGTGTCACTAACTACAAGTGTTTGATGCGTAGGATGGTGTGGTAGAGGTGTGTGAACAGAGGCTGGGAATTAACTTGAGAGGAGGGAGAGTAAAGGCGTAAAGCAGTCTTTTAAAGCTATTTCTTTCTAAAATGAAATCTTCTGGAGCTTAAAAGATATAGATGCTTAAGTGTAGAAATTGACGCCAAATTGAATGATTTGACGAGTTTGTTCTCGATTTTTGTGGTATGTAACTATATTAGGATGATGTACAGGAAATGTTACAAAACGTAAATGACGGCTAGGGTAAGAGGCCGATATGCCTTGTCCTATATTATTTAGTGCGACATTGGTGAAGCTCATTTGGAAGTAATATGTTATCCAATGACGTTATGATGCGCCTTCCATTCACAAGGGCTCAAATTGTTACTGGGATGGGTTAGATCCACAGATATGTGGCCAGAAGTTCAAATTACATGTATGTGACATTTTCCATCACAGGTTCTTTATTCTGTTCATTTGCTTTTGCAGGTGACAGCAAAAGAATTAAATTATGTAAAGCTGGATGAACTTGGAAAATTGTCTCAAAGAGCTGCGGATCCAGAAAAAGAAACTGGTCAGGTTTCTGACTGTAGTCAGAAGGCTATATCTTGTGATTGATTCTCTCGTTGGCATTGTTGCATGAATTATAGCATTGTGATCTGGGTTTGGAAGGCATTTTCTGTTACTATGTTCCCAAGCTGAAAATTCACTGTTAACTGGAAAAGCATGATAAAATTACAAGATATTTGGGAGACTGGTGGGGCTTAAAATTTTATTTTATTTTATGTAATTTTATCTCTGGTGTTTATGTAGGATTAGGCGAATCTAGCTTGCAAAAGAAAAATAATCGGCTTCACTTGTGGCAATTATTGTTTGCCAATCCAAATGAGTGGTATGACAATCGGAAAAGTAAGAAGAATCCAAAGCAACCAGATTTCAAGCATAAGAGTACTGGTGAAGTACTCTGGTTCAGTGAACGTGATCCGCCATGGGTTAAAAAACAAGTAGATATACTCAACTCTAGACTTTCAGGAGGCCCAAATTATGGCGTGAGTTCCAAATATTCCCCATCCAGATCTTTGTCGGACGAGCTGTTTATGGTGCCAAACCCTACTGTAAGCAATTTGAATTGTCAATTATACAAGCGAACACAAAAAAAAAATGATATGTTAGACTAGCAATACAATTTATTTATTATTATTTTTTTTCTATAAGATGAAACGAACTTTACTTGACAGAATTAGTCTTAAGTCATGGTGGCAAACTTTCTTACATCTTAATTATTAGGCAATTTTAGAAGAAAAGATTGATTCACTAAATACAATTCGTAAGTGGTGATTCTCGTGGAATAAAGGATTTTATTTGCACTTTGGAGCTTATGTTCCTTAAAGGACACTCTGTATCACTTTCTAAGGCTCCAATGGAGGTTTTTTTGATGTGCTTGGCACTTTACTAGTCCTCAAAATGTGCTCTTTAATCTGAATACTCCATACATGCACTCTCTGAAAAGATGATAATTTCTTTGCATGAAGCATATAAGATCTTTTTTTTAATCTCTGACCCTCAAAATATATTTCCCAGCATTTATTATGGAATCAACAATAGCTGAATGGTTGTTATAAAAAATGATAAGGATTTAAAAGTGTTATTGCATTTCTAGCATCACAACATCATTTGAATGTACTAGTTCCCTATTTTTACTAGCATGTCCTCAATGATGTAATGTAATAGACTCTGGCTGATTTGTCTTTATGCAATAAAGTATGAAATTAAGAGAAAGATTGATGCTTTGATTGATATTACGAAGCCTTTCTTACATATTTACTCTAGCTTGAGGCTACAACTCTCCATGTTAGTGACTTTAGGTCAAAAGTCTCAATGAAAATTCACTCACAAAATGCCTATCTTTCTATTCTCTCTTTCTTTGTTTATGGACATTCCCTAGGTTGATTTCTAGATGCCTTGTCTTCTTGTGCACAGGGCCGCCACCTGCTACTCTGCTGCTTGTTGTGCTACTGTTGATGCTTGTTGCTCCTTTCCTCCTTGGTTGGTTGTTTTTTTTTTCTTTTCCTTCTGGTGTAGTTAGAACCTCTGGTGGGCTGTCATGATCTGTTACATCATTTTCCCCTTGAAGATTCACCTTGTCCCAAGGTGGAACCAAGGAATCATTAATGGCCACGACTTCTTCCTAGGTGGCTTAAAATGGCTGCAGCCCCTTCCATTCGATTAGGACTTCAGTTATGGCTGAACTCTCCTTCCTCCTATGCTTGACATCCATCACCTCTGCTGGTTGCACTTCTAGCTCTATGTCAACAATGAGCTGTTTATGGCCCTTTTTAATTGGGAGTTGGGACTCATGAAAGACTGGATGAAGCTTGCAAGTGTCTGGCAGATTTAGGGATAATCGCAATAGGTCTTTAATACCTGTCTGCAGCTTTTCAAAGGGTCTTTTGGCCAAGGTCTGCTGCTACGGCTGGATTTTTAGGTATACCTCATCTCCCACCTTAAAGGATTCTTCTTTTCTTTGTTTATCGACATTCCCCTTCATCTTTTGTTGCACTTTCAGCATCATCCTTAGTTCTTCCAACATGATATCTAAATCCCCTCCTATGCAACCGCTTCTCCAATTTATACTATTGTGTGTCCGGCTCCTACCTTGGTGACCCTTTGGCGGGTCCCTACCATACACCACCTTAAAGGGTGACATTTCCATTGAAGTGTGGGGCAAAGTGTTGTTTGAGAACTTTTCCCAAGAGAGCCACCCTACTAGAGCCCAGCTTCGTTTGAGAAGCATCTCACGTAAGCCTCAAGGGTCTTGTTGACAATCTTTGTTTGTCAATTTGAGCTCAAAACCTTGTTAGCAAAACAATTTCTTCCAAAAGATGCTCAGAATAATGTTGTCTCTATTTGATACAATAGATTAAGAAAATCCACGGAGTTGAACTATTTCCTTCATGAAGGATACTTGAGGCTTATAAAATGCGCATATTTGGATATGCAAACCACCACCTCTAGGATGGTATCTAGCCCCCCTTCGATGAAGTCAAGGGAAGTGTCTTCCTATACGGCTGTGGGGAATGGTGGAGTTTGCAACAAGCCAGCAGGGCATAATTGAGAGTGTTTGTGTTGTTGGCTGACCGCACAACCCCTTATATGCCTTCCTACATCCGTCCACATCCCTTGTCAAAACCCCTTTTCTCGCTAAGCTCAAATTAGTTTACACCTCTTACATCGGTCATCCACGCTGAAACGCCGAGATCTGTCTTTTTTCTTTACCAAAATACCAACATCGGCCAGAAAAAAGGGCTACTAGATTGGCAAATGATTATCACATCGAGCATCTCCTGATGCATTTCTCAATCTCATTCATTTATATTTGAGGGTAGCGTTACGACCTTACATTCACCGGATTGCTACCTTCTTTCAAGGCAATTTTATGCTCGTGGCCTCTGGGGGGTGGTAGGAGTTTCAAAAACCCCTTGGTGGGTGGTCTTAGACTTGACATAAAATCCTGGCTATTCTTCCTCCTTACTACCCTCCTCTTCAATTTACCTTGTACCTTGTTGAGTGTACGGAGCATAGCCCTTGAGTCTTATTCTAGAGTTGTAAGGTAGGATCACTTAGGAGGCTCCTGCTTTGAAATCTCATCGTATGAGTCTTCTAATTCATATCGATTGAACCCTCTGTTTCCTAGTTGTAAGGGTAAAAATTCCTCCACAATTTCCACTCCCCCATCTAGTTTCATCTTGACTTGCTTGCATACTCCTCTCCATAGATTGTCTCTCCATTCGCAAGAATTCTCCAAATTCGAAAGTGTCAATTAACATAGAGCCCCGTCGTTGTGGAATTAAAATTATAAGTTGCCCCCGTATCTATTATTACTACCACCATTGCGCGGGCGAAGCCTATCGCCGCTGTCAACTTCATGGTTTTCAAGGTCGAAAATTCAGTAACCGATCATAGTGAAACTTCCGCCTGGGCTGTTGTGGATAGCTACTCCATCGCTTCGTCCACCCCATTCACCGTTTCTTTACCCTCGTCATCCTCCACCAACAGAACACTCAATTGCCTTTTCTTACATTCATGCACAAGTCCCCACCACTCTCCACATCTAAAACAGAGACCTTTGGCTTTTGGGAGTCCTTGCTTGTAGGTCTTTCTCATGTTCACGAAGCCTGGGAATGTTTTTTGGGCCCACTTTTTTCGGTGTGAGTGTTGATGGTGTTGCTTGCCTAGAGAGATTCCAAGCCCAAACGCAGAAGTCTTAGGATTTGATTAAAGGCCCCCAACTTACTTGGCTCCATCATTACTTTTTTAATTTTCCCTACCTGATTACGTTACCTGTTATGAAGTGTCTGTGACTAGCTTCAGGCTATAAGGATCTAAGACCTGAATCCCTGCCTTAATCTCTTCCTTTAATCCGCCACCAACGTTGGAGTATATAGTGCGCGCACTACCCAACTTTTAATCGGTCTTCTCCCGTTCTCCCAGTAAAACAGCACAGGGCATCACCTTCCAGCGAAACCACCGGTGCTTCCATCTTCTCCTCCTCGTTAAGGTGGTAGAAGTTGAAGTATTTTTCACTTCTAAGTGTCCACGTGTCTGGGTCTTCTACTTAGGACAAGGGCATCTCAAGCTTACAATACTTCCAATGGCCACCCCCACCACCTCCGCTGGACCATTCTCGCCTTTCCACTTCCCTCTCATCGCTCTTTTACTTTGACCCTTGATTACTGTTTTCCCCCTTCAAGTATATTATAAGCAACTATCCTCGGTCTCCCTTGTCTCCTCCCAGTTGGAAGTTCTGTCTAAGCTTCTCTTGGTCCTTCCTTGCGACTGTCATCTTGGAATCTGAGATTATCTCAAAATCTGTCAATTTGCCCTTCCATTCTGATCACTGCCACATCCACAATTTCTTCTAGAGTTTTGAGCATCCTCGACTTCCCTGTGACACCCTGGTTGCTACCTCCCTACTAGTGACGTTCTCCTACTCCCTCAAGTCTAATATTCCATTCCTACAAGCTTATCCTCCAAGGAAGCCATTCGTTGAGTGGCTGAGGACTGAGGTCACCGTGATCTCTCTACTCTGATACCACTTGTAATAGACTCAAAGCTGGTTGATTTGTATGTATGAAATAAAGCAGGAAATTAAGAGAGAGTTGATTTGTATGTATGCAATATAGCAGGAAATTAAGAGTGATTGATATTTTAATTGATATTGTTAAGCCTTTCTTGCTAATTTAGTAGCTTGAGGCTACAATTCTCCAAGTTAGTGACTTTTGGTCACCAGTCTTAATGAAAATTCACTCACAATATGCATGTCTTCCTATTATCTCTCTCTCTCTCTCTCTCTCTCTCTCTTTCTCTCTATATACATTCCCCTAGGATGATTCTAGATGACTTGTCTTCTTGTGCATGGGTGGCGGCTGTCCTGCTGCCTGCTACTCTGCTGCTTGTTCCACCGTTGCTGCTTGTTGGTCCCCCCTCCTTGGTTGGCTTTTGTCTTTATCTTTGAGTGTAGGTCAGGACTACTGGTGGGGCTGTCATGGTCTGTTACGAGTAAATTGTACTTTCTCCATTTCTTTAATATTGCAACATGGGAAACATATTTGATGGGGCTGGTAAGAGACCGAAGTGCCTGGTCATATTTTATTTAGTGCAACAGTGGTGGTGTTCATTAGGATGTGATATGTGTTCGCACAACATGACTTTTACCCACAAAATTCAACTGAGGTGTTGGATGCAAGGATTATGCCCAGTGGTTCAAATCACACATATTTGTGAGCTTTATTCACAGGGTTGTTAACCTGTTCTAATTGTTTTTGCAGATGACTGAAGAAGAATTAGATGATGCTGAGCCAGTTGAATCTGGGAAAAACTTTCAAAAAGGTGTAAATTCAGATAAAGAAACTGGTAAGGTTCCTTATTTTAGTTAGGTGACTGTTTCAGTCATTGATTCTCTCATTGACATTGTGATGAACCTATGTACATGGCTCAGATGGCTGAATTTATAGAAAATATTTTGAAATTAATTATATATAGTGCTTGAAATTGTATAAATTTGGCCTTATTAATTTGCATATGTAATTTGGAATTCAGTAATATTGTTAGTCTAATTTGGGATATGGCTTCCATGCATACCTCAGCCTGATGTTTCAACTCATTGATACATTGTTGCAAGCATTTGTTAATCTTATGGATGGTAGGCTTTGTAGCCTAGCTTGTTTTTACTTAATAATTGTGGTCTGGGGCTTGGAATGAATTGTCTAATCCTGGACTTCCTATCAATTTATGTTAAATGGAAAATCATGACAAGTTTTTTGAGAAGAAGGGTACATTAACCTCTTTCTTTTAGGTGATTTTATAGGTGAAGGTAAATCTAGCTCGCAAAAGAAAAATGACCGGCTTCACTTGTGGAAAAAATTCTTTGCCAATCCAGATGAGTGGTATGATAATCGGAAAAGTAAGATGAATCCAAAGCAACCAGATTTCAAGCATAAGAGTTCTGGTGAAGCGCTCTGGTTCAGTGAACGTGATCCTCTATGGGTTAAAGAACAAGTTGAAATACTTGGCTCTAGACATGTAGGAGGAGCAAATAGTGAAGCGATATCCAAATCTTCCTCAGCCAAATTGGTGTCTGGTGAGCCATTGGAGGAGCTAAACCTTAATGTAAGCAATGAAGATTGTCAATGAAACACAAGATTTATCTCTTAGATTAGCAATTTCAAGAATTTTATCATGGATGAAATGGAACTTTAGTAACTTGAAAGGTATGACAATGGAAATGTAGTCCAAATAATGGCTGTCATTTTCATATAATCAATTACCCAACTTTAGTATGAATCATACTCCAAAGAAAAGATTGATTCACTTTTAAATCCTCAAGATGCTCTTTGATTTGAATGCTGCATACAAGTTGTTTAGCTAGACCAATGCTGTGTCACTTTTTTTCTGTTGTTTGTTTTAGGTTGTTTGTTGGAAATACTTTTGCTTGTTAGGAGAGAGAACCTTTTCGTTTGTTATTGTGACGTACATTGCTTGGCATGATCTCTTTCTTACTTTAGGTTACATGTAGATATTTTTGTTTCATGGTGTATGATCTATGACCTTTACTGATGATATTGTACAAGAAGGGCACTGATTTAAAATTTGTATTAGAGACTTGTTATTGGTTTGATGTGTGAAAAGGTGCAATAGAGGAGGGGTGGGCTGATGAGACAAAGGAAACTAACTTTAGAAAGACTAGGGGGGAGGGTTTGCTTATTGGAATATAGCTGAAGCACACCTTATAATATCTGCAAATATAGCAATCCTCTGGAGCTCTTTATTTAATAAATTGTTGATTTTGATTCTGAAGCTGACATCAATATAAAAATTTGATTATGAACAATAGTTGTTCCGAGCGTTTATGGTCTATAACTCTCCGAGGCTAAAAAGGGCAAGAGAAGATGTTGCAAAAAGTGTAGTATGAAGTCTAAGAGGTTGATGTGCCTGGTCATACTTTATTCTAGTGTGACAACTGACAACGGTGAAGCTCATTAGGATGTGATATGTGTTTCAACAATATGACTATCACCCTCTAATTGCAACTGATATGGGTTGGATCCACAGATTTGTTATTATGCATATTTGTCGTACTCAATCACAGGGTCATTAATCTGCTCAATTGGTTTCTGCAGGTGACAGCGAAGGAATTTACTTTAGATGAACCTGGTAAAAACTTCCAGAGAGTTGAAATTTCAGGATCAGAAACTCGTAAGTTACCAATTACTAGTTAGGAGATGATTTCTGGTTTTTGGCTATCTCATTGATTTTCCGACAAGCCTATGTAATTTTGTCGCTTTTAGAATATACTTGGAGTCTTGAAGCTGTATATAACAATTAGTACCTAAAATTTTGTAAATGTTGCCATAATATGCAGCAGTAGCAGAAGTAAAAAAACTGCATATGTTGATTAATATTGTTAGTTTTTTTGTTGCTGCCATGCATACCTCAGCTCTATTTTTGAATATGTTGATAAAATGTTGCAATATTTCATGCATTTTACTTGGTCATCATAATTTGGGGATTACAAGTCATTATCTAATCTCGCACTCCCGTTTTGTGCTAATTAGTGAGGCTTATCGTTTTTTTTTGGGTGGTTTTATAGGTGAGGGTAAATCTAGCTTGCAAAAGAAAAGTGACAGGCTTCACTTGTGGAAAAAACTCTTTGCCAATCCAGATGAATGGTATGACAATCGAAAAAGTAAGAAGAATCCAAAGCAACCAGATTTCAAGCATAAGAGTTCTGGTGAAGCACTCTGGTTCAGTGAACGTGATCCTCTATGGGTTAAAGAACAAGTTGAATTACTTGGCTCTGGACTTTTAGGAGCAGCAAATAATGAAGCGACATCCAAATCTTGCCCAACTAAATGGGTGTCTGGTGAGCTGTTGGAGGAGCTAAACCCTAATGTAAGCAATGAAGATTGTCAATGATACAAGTGAAAAACTAGATTTATCTCTTTGGTTAGCAATTTCAAGTGATGTTTATTATGGATGATATGGAACTTTAGTAACTTGACAGGTATGACAACAGAAACATAGTCCAAAATCATGGCTGTTAATATCATATAATTAATTATTGATTTTTAGTTTGAGTAATTTTCCAAAGAAAGATTGATGCACATTTATATCCTCAAGGTGCTCTTTGATTTAATGCTGCATACGACTTGTTTAGCCAGACGAAAGTTGTGTTTCTTTTTTGCCTATTGTTTGTTGGAAAAACTTTTGTTTGTTAGGAGAGAGCCGTTTCGATTGTTATTTTGATGTACATTACTTGTCATGATCTCTATTCTCTTGCTTACTTTAGGTTTTCTATAGATATTTTTATTTCAAGGTACGATACATGATCCTTGCTGACATGATATTCTATGAGAAGGGCACTGATTGAAAATTGGTATTAGAGACTTGATATTGGTTTGATGTGTAAAAAGGTGCAATATAGGTGGTATGGGCTGATGAGACAAAGGCAACTAACTTTAAAGGGACTGAGGTCTGAGGGGGAGGGGAAGCTTTTTGGTATTAACTCAAGTACACCTTACTATCTACAAATGAAGCAATCCTCTTGAGTTCTTAATTTAATAGATATTGGTGTTTTTAGTGCTGAAGCTGAATCAATCTTTAATTTTGGTGAATACTTTTTTTTCTGAGTGTTTCTGGTCTAGCACTTTGAGGTAGACGTGCAAGAGAAGATGTTGCAAAACCTGTAGGATGCAAGGGTAAGAGGCCGATGTGCCTAGTCATATGTTATTCTAGTGTGACAATGGTGAAGCTCATTAGGATGTGATATGTTTCAACAATGTGCCTTTCACCCACTAATTGCAACTGATATGGGTTTTGTTTGATCCACAGATTTAGAATTATACACATTTCGTATTCAATCACAAGATCATTAATCTGTTCAAATGGTTTCTGCAGGTGACGGCTGAGGAATTGACTTTAGATGAACCTGGGGAAACTTTCCAGAGTGTTGAAAATTCAGGATCAGAAACTCGTAAGTTATACATATAACTAGCTAGGAAACGATTTCTGGTGTTTGATTATCTCGGTTTTGAAACAAGCCTATGTACATTGTCTTACTTTTAGAATATAGTATTATTGGAGATTTATATAATAATCAGTGTTTTAAATTGCATAAATCTTGTCATAATTAAGTAGAAGGTAAAACTGTAATAAGGCTGCATATGTAGATTTGAAATTCGCAATTTTGTTAGTAGATTTGGCTGCCATGCATACCTCAGCTTAATATTTCTGTACATGCATTTTACTTGGTCATCATGATCCTAGGGTTTGGAACTCATTGTCTGATCCCAGACTCCTATTTTGTGCAAATCAGTGAGGTTTATCCGTTTTTTATTTTTTGGTGGTTTTATAGGTGAAAGTAAATCTAGCGCGCAAAAGAAACTGCGTAAGAAATTCTTTGCTTATCCTGATGAATGGTATGACAATCGGAAAAGTAAGAAGAATCCAAAGCAACCAGATTTCAAGCACAAGACTTCTGGTGAAGCGTTATGGCTCAGTGGTTGTGATTCTCCCTGGGTTAAAAAACAAATTAAAATACTTGATTCTGGAATATCAAGAGAACCAATTAACGGTTAGGAAGCTTTTTGTAGGTATAAACAATGACGGCTAATTATTATAGGATGTATTGTGTCAAAAAAAAAAAAAAAATTAAATAAATTATAGGATGTAATGGATTTCTATCAACTTGGACGCAGGAACATTAGATCATAATTAAAATTAAGCTGTATATCTCTTTTTTATTTTTATTTTAAATTTTTAATTCTTATTTTTATTGCTACTAACACTCAAATTTATTTAAAGTACATGGCATTGTAGCAGAAGCTTAAGGAGAAAGGTGAAAGTTTATGCTTGCACCTCTAGGTATGGATTCTGCGGTAAAATGACTACCAGCAGTTATGTTTTGGTAAACACCCCCCCCCCCTTTTTCCCAAAACAATGAGTTAAATTTTTTTTTTTTTTTAAATTAGTTTAGAGCTCATACCATGTACGGTTAGTAATAAAACTCAAGTTATTATTACCCTGACAATACTTGTAATTGTTAGGGTGTATATACCTATGCGTTTAATAAAAATGTCACTAAATGTTTATTCACCATAGAACTTTTCAAATTCACCATATAATTCTGAGTTTAACAAAAATGTCACCAAATGCTCTTAATGATCAACGGTGGTTAACTCCGCTAGTCATTGAGAATGCAATATTGTTATATATTTGTTGGTACATAGCGTAGCATATTTGTAATATTTTACAATTAATATTAATACCATTGAGATGTGAAATGAATCATTGATAGTAAAATATCACAATAAATTATTGTAATGGTACTATATATTGTTACAATGGTGTACTTTTGAGGTTAATATATATATCATTAGGTTGTGGAATCGTGTCATCGATAGTGTAATGGTATAATAATTAGTTGTAAATCTTGTAATGGTACTAAATTGATTATAATGGTACAATTAAAACCTGAAAATTAAAGTGATAATATGTGGTCCCGTCACCTTTAAAGTAATAATGTTTTCGGATTTTTTACCATATACCACTGAGTTAATGCGTAATTCACCATATACCACACGAAACTTTCTAATACACCAAATACCACTCAGTTAATGTACAGTAACACAAAATACCTTTTTTGGTAACTGTCGTTAGTCTGCCGTTTGGGGTAATTTACTAATTCACCATATACCATTATTTTATAAGTTATTTCACCATATACCATTTGTTTAAAGTTATTTCACAATATACCTATAATTTTACAAAGGATTGTGTTTTAAAAAAAAAAACTAGTCGTTGAACAGTTATAACGGCTAGTTTGTGTATATAAATGTAGTACTTTAGTGATTCACGTACCAAGTCACAATTCTAAAAGCATTTGCAAAGATGTCCACACACTCGATATCATCATCGTCGTCGTCATCTTTCGGTTCTTCGTACGTAAGAGTGTCAAACAAAGCTTGTTCTTGTGGTAGGAAGTTTGTAATAAGGAGCTCTGATTCGGCAAAAGATCCACAAAGGTTGTATTATAAGTGTGATGTATGTTAGACATTCAGGTGGTGCATGGGTAATGTGGAGAAAAATGTCCCGTCGGGTTATGAAATTCAAATCAGGGGAGGGATAGACACGCATGGATGTGAGATCTTGTTGAAGCAAGAGTTGAAGGAGCTTTAAGAGAAGAATAGCAAAGCAGCAAAAGATAGTAAATGCAGCAATAAAAATAGGAGTAATTATGTTTATGGTTATTGTATTTGTAGCCTTGAAATGATTAATGTAAACAAAATCCCTGCGTTCAAGTCTTTGGTTGTAAATGACCCTGAGACCATGCTTGCATAGTATTCCTGATCCTTGCCATTTCCCACACCCACAGGTAATATTCCCAAGTGTGACAGAGAACTTGACATGGCCATCCATGACTTCAAATTCTTCACCACCAGAACTTAGGCTCATCACTCCTTGGTTCCAAAACCCCTTTAGCATACTCTGTCAGCTCATTAGGTTTCATATCAATTGATTAATCAAACCTAGAACCTATGTAAAATTACCCTAAAGTACTACATTTATATACACAAACTAGCCGTTATAATTGTTCAACGGCTAGTTTTTTTTTTAAACACTTTGTAAAATTATGGGTATATTGTGAAATAACTTTAAACAAATGGTATATGGTGAAATAACTTATAAAATAATGGTATATGGTGAATTAGTAAATTACCTCAAACGGCTGACTAACGACAGTTACCAAAAAAAGGCATTTTGTGTTAATGTACATTAACTAAGTGGTATTTGGTGTATTAGAAAGTTTCGTGTGGTATATGGTAAATTATGCATTAACTCAGTGGTATATGGTGAAAAATCCCTAATATTTTTTGATAGCTCCACATTCCTCTTTTAATAGCATGTGCTCCCTCCGTCCCTTTATTTTTGCCTAATTGTCATTTTATTTTTGCCTAATTGTCATTTTTGGGGTCAAACTTTGAAATCTTTGACCATAAATTACGGTTAATCTATCATGAGTGGTCTTGTTAGAGTCGTCTCATTGTATAATTTATTAACATCACATTTTTATAATTTATGCGTGTGTAGAAATAAAGATATAGACGTTTTAATACGCGTCTTAAAGACCGTACACAGTCAAAACGGACTAAAAAATAGGAAAAGAGGGAGTAGTAAGTTATTATTATGCCCTTGTTATGTACCATTAAATACATAACAATACTCACTCTAAACTCCTCATAAATTGATTGATACACTTGTTGATGGTGACTTGGTGAGTGACTCGTACGTGATAACATGAGAAAGTAATAAAGCCATTGATTAGTGCCAAAGTCACACCATTGTAACGATATTTAGTACCATTACAACAATTTATAGTATTATTCCACTGTAAATATGACATTTCATATCTCAATGATATCAATGTTATACCTATCACGCTTAGCCAGATAGTTGAAAACTCACCAATAAAAAACAACTTTCTCTTATCCAATGGACCTACCCAAAAGGAGAGAGAAAAAAAAAAGATTCTTATTGGGTTTCATAAATTAAACTATTCCTAGTCTTCCCACCAAATTGACTACATTCACCCGTCATATCCCCCCACTCACTCTTGTTTCTCTCCAGCAAACTCAACTCACGTCCACACTTATGGCCGTGACCGATCTTTTTGCCGGCGAGATCGCCACCGAACTCCTTAAACACCTCCTCGCAATCGCCCGTAAATCCGCCCTTTGTAGAGCTAGTGCAGAGGAGCTCAGCAACCACATCAATAGCCTCCTTCCCATCATCCAAGAAATCAAGTACTCTGGCGTCGAGTTAATTCAGGCTCGACAGAGTCAGCTCGATCAATTCTCCGTATTGCTTCAACAAGGCTTGGAGCTCTCGAACAAGGTGCTAAACTCGAACCGATGGAATGTGTACAAGAATTTGCAGCTAGCTAGGAAGATGGAGAAACTTGAGAAGAAGGTATCAAGATTTGTGCACGGTCCTATGCAGGCTCATATTCTTGCTGATGTTCATCATCTTAGGTTCGACTCGGCCGAGCGGTTTGATCGGATTGATGGGTCGACTAGACAGATTGAGAGGCAACTTGGGTCGTTGAGGATTGGAGGTGTTGGTGGTGGGTGGGTGGAGGAGGAGATTAGGAGAGTGGAGGGATTAGAAGGGGGTTTGAGGGTAGTTTGGGGAATTTGGGGGTGAGTTTTGAAGTGGGTGTTAGGAAAGTTAGGGAGATTTTATTGGAAAAAAGTGATGGTGTTGTTGGGATTTGTGGGATTGGTGGGAGTGGTAAAACTACCCTTGTTAAACAACTTTGTAGGGATGATCAACTTAAATGTAAGTTATTTAATATTCAAGTGTCATTGCCTCGTGATCTGTCTAAGTATTGTACTTTTAATATTCAATTATATGATACGAATCATTCCAACAAATATGATAAAATGATACTGATTTTTTTTCATCCGAAATAGTGCTAGCTGCTATGTATTATGGAGTACTCTTTTTTTTTTTTTTTTTTTTTTGCTTAAGAAATTCTGGTTAATTTGTTACTAGTATTGAATTCAAAGAAGAGAGTGTGTTACTCAAAATTATGGAGGTTATAACTTTCTAATTTCAGTAAATAAGTAGACTTTGGCTAAATTTAGTTTGTATTTTGGTGTTATTGCCTCTGACTTTGTCTGAATCAAAATCTTGCAGCTTACTTTAATGACCGGATATTGAACTTGACAGTATCTCAATCTCCTAATGTGGAGGAAATGAGATTAAGGGTATGGCAATTTTTGTCGGAAACAGAGTGTATGGATACCAGTTCTGAGGCTTCTCAATGGAACCTCCAATCTGAATCAATATTTGGAGCTCGTGCTCTCGTGGTTTTGGATGATGTTTGGTCACTGTCAGTGCTGGAACAGCTTATTTTTCGAGTGCCCGGGTGCAAAACCCTTGTGGTTTCCAGGTCGAAGTTTCCAACTGTTGCTAACCAGACGTATGAGGTTGAACTGTTGAACCATACTGAAGCTATGGCTTTGTTTTGTCACTCTGCTTTAGGGCAGAATTCTGTTCCTGTTAGTGCTGATGAACGATTGGTCGAGCAGGTATTGCTTCAGTAGTTGTTTAGAAGCTTTGTGATCTGTTAGTCTTCAATTTCGCTGCTCTTTACATTATGCTGAAGTTGGTTTGTATTTAGCTTGTCAGTGAATGTAAGGGGCTGCCTTTGGCTCTTAAAGTCATTGGAGCTTCATTGCGAGGGCAACCACAAATGTTCTGGATAAGTGCAAAGAACAGGCTTTCGCGAGGTGAGCCAATTGGTGAATCTCATGAGGTTAATTTGCTAAAGCGGATGGAAACAAGTATATCTTACTTGCCAGAAAAGGTCAGGGAATGTTTCCTGGACTTGGCTTGCTTCCCTGAGGACAAGAAGATTCCCCTAGATGTTTTGATTAACATGTGGGTCGAGATTCATGACATTGATGAAGAAGAGGCTTTTGCTATTCTTATTGAGTTATCAGAGAAGAATCTTCTTACCATAGTGAAAGATGCAAGGTAATTTTCAAGCCAGGAAATCATTTTGAAAGAGTTATGTAACCTTATGTTCTATATGATCATTTGCATAAATTTTGACTGATCACATTCAATTTGTTCAATTGACAGGGCTGGAGATCTGTATAGTAGTTATTATACCATCTTTGTAATGCAGCATGATGTATTGAGAGACCTAGCCTTGCATTTAAGCAATACTGGGAATATAAATCAGCGAAAGCGGATGCTTAT